CTCTCTCTCTCTCACTAAATATATCAATATAAAGAGAGATATCCAAAATCCTTGCAGAATATCGAAAGTCCTTACAAATTCCTTGCATATCTTTATTACTGCATTTTAGTTTCTGAATAATCGGATTACTTGCAAATGCAGTAATTACTGGCAAATTGGCATCACTGCAAGGCAGGTAGTAGGCTTCCAAACGACAAATTCGACAGTGTTGCCACGAGTTCACTTGTAACGAACTGTGCCGATTTATATGGTAATGACAAATATTTTCGAAGTGAATGTGGCACTAGTTTAGGTTCTGAAATGTTTGATGTCTATTTTAACCTCATGATAGAGGTCATAACTTCATGCTGTTGAATGTAATTTGTTAGTTTTGAAGTTCCGCACAGCATTGGTGATATTAAAGAATTATCACGGATTCAATATGGCAACGTCCATATCCACATCGTGATCTTAGAATGCTCCCATTCACCGGCTTCATTTAATGAGGTAAATAACTGAGTCTATTTATTTTTCTACGTCCATGGATAGTAGCATTATATCCCAGGAGCATAGCATTCGGAAGATAATATTTTGTAAGTCGGTTTTATATGGTTATCGAACATCAATATCTTAATTTTCATCCAGTCCAAATAATTTGTTCGGTCTCAAAATCTTGCTATCGAAATTATTATCTTTTCTAGTGAATTCTGAATCTTAAATTTTCAGTATTAAGCCTAGAATTGCCAGCTCTAAAATTTGGACAACACAGTTTTATGGCATTATTTTTATTTTAGGTATTACTAACTAATCTTGTTTAAGTTATTTAGTTTTTTATTATTCCCAAGGGTCTCTCAATCGGGAGACCTGCACGTGCAGGTTTCTCCTGAAGCAGTTCTAGCTACTGCAATCGTGGATATTGTCAATAAGTACGGAAAATCTAAAACTTGTAGAGTATTCTTGGACGCAGGCTCTTGAGCTCATTTCATTACAGAGAGCGACGCAAGTTTTTTTAAATCTCGATCGTAAAACAGTAAACGTTGTAGTTTCCGGTCTTGATGATATCTCAACAAACATAAAACAATCTACTTATGCAACAATTAAATCTCGTCACAATCAATTTGCAAAAGGTGTCGAATTTCTCATTGTACCTCAAATAAGCACTCTCATGCCGTCCATTCATATTGATCATTCTCTACTTGAGATTCCTAAAAGCATTCCCTTAGCTATTCAGAATTCTTCAAGCCTTCTGAGATTGATGCTCTTATTGGGGTGAAATTGTTTTACAAATTGCTTAGCATGATCAACTCTCATTAAAAGGTCAGCCAGATGCGGTTCTTCAAAAAACTCAACTAGGTTGGATCGTAGCTGGTGAAATTAAAAATCTTTTTGCCACTAGACGCATAAGTTGTCACTTAGGCTTACATGCAGCGCCATTTTAATCTGATCTCACTCGCTTCTGGGAAATCGAAGAAATTCCTTCCTCAGAAATTTCATCCCCAGGAGAAAAGGCATGTGAGTGCATTATTCACTTACCACTATCCGAGATAAATCTGGTCGATACATCGTTAGGCTTGCCTTTATGACAAAATTCAAAATCTCGGAGAATCTTCTTCAACTGCACGTCGTTTCTACGCCTTAGAAAGGCGATTCCAAAAGGATCCAGAACTTCAACGCCAATACTCTGACTTTTTGAGCGAATATCAAAAGCTGGGTCACGTCTCGGATTTCCGGTCAAGACGATACTGCCAAGGGTTTTTATCTTCCCCATCATGCGGTGAGAAAGGACGACAGTTTGACTACCAAAATTCGAGTCGTATTTGACGGTTCGGCTAAAAAATCAACCGGTATTTTAATAATAGGTCCTAAATTGCAAGATGATCTGTTTGTAATTTTGCTTCGTTATCGTTCTCATCAATACGCACTTACTGTCGATGTTGAAAAAATGTACCGACAAATTCGTGTACATCCAGATGATGCGATCTATCAAAAGATTCTTTATCGTGAAAGTATTAGCGCTCCGATTGAAACTTTTATTCTTGAAACTGTCATATACGGCACAGCTTCGGCCTCTCATCTATAGCTGTTCGATCCTTATAGCAGCTAGTTGAGGACGAAGGTCATCACTATCTTTTTACCGGTGCGAAAACACTGCCAGAATCAGAGCTGTTACGCAATCAACTATAAGATTTAGTTAAGAAAAGTGGTTTTCACTTACGAAAATGGGCTTCAAATCATCCGTCACTTGTATCCGATTACTCTGAGCATCCAAAAAATATTCATATGAATATTTGTCAAAACCCTCACTATCCACTGGAACTCTCAAAGCTTTTTGATCCCTTAGGCCTTCTGGGGCCAGTTATAGTTTATGCAAAAATAATAATTTAACTCTGTTGGAAGGCTGGAATTACCTGGAATAAATCCGTTCCTCAGAGTAAACATGACATGTAGATTGCCTATGAATCTCAACTTTCTATACATGTAACTTGGCATTTTCCTCGTTGTCTCATCACTCCAACCTCACGTGATCTTCAAATTCACGGCTTCTGTGACGCAAGTGAAAAGGCCCATGGAGCTTGTCTATACTAACGCTCAACAGATTCAAACGGAGTTGTTTCTCTGATGTAGGGAAGTGCAAGCACTGGTTGTGACGGCTTCTCTTCCTTGCGAGGCTCCTGCTGTCTTTTAGCCATTATAGTATATATAGTAGACAATGGAAGTCCGAACTAGTGAAATTCAAACGGAGTTGTCCACGCACAACTAATATGCTCCAAATCAAGAGTGGCTTCTGTGAGCCCTGTTAGCTTACCTTGCTCAGAGCTATGCAGTGTAGTCTTGCTTTCCAATTTACTTATCATTGTCAAGGAATCTCTTCTGTTAAACCTCACTGATGTAATATACATATATATTATCAAACTGACCCGCATCGCTTAAAAACCTGTGTAGCCAATCGTGTAGCTGATATACAAAGGCTAACCAAAACCTGTCATTGGCGACATCTGTTCTCTAAAGACAATCCCGCAGATCTAGTCTCATGCGAACAATTGCCCTCTGAATTTGTTAAGGTATGGTTTCGCTGGCACGTCTGGTGGCAACTCACGACTGCGTCCGGACGCAGTCCGTGTGTATGTGTGGTTCCGCTGGAGCGTCTCCGTCGCAATCAAGCCGCGTCTGCGTCTCGACTGCTGAGTAGATAGATAGATAGATAGATATCCTTTATCAGTTCTTTGTATTAAAAAATTTTTTTCAGGTGTAGAACATGTCAATTACTGTGAACATTACAGAAATAGTAAAATAATCATGAGGCAATATCATTAATATTGGTTAAGAATATAAATGGCCACTGATGTATGAATAACAAGGTAATCACAGTCAATATACTTAATGTAATATTGTTATATTAGATACAGAACACGAACATATACATCTATATGTAGGGTTCAAAGGAGACTAAACTACATCACAATGCAGAATGATACGACATGAAATATTCAACGCGAACAACATCAGTTTAAATTATCATTGAAGAATTCTTCCAGCGAATAATAAGCTTTGGAGAGAAGCAAAGTTTTCAATTTATTCTTCATGATTTATTCTTCAGTAGACCAGTCAAGACGCGCTGCCGTGCGACCGAGTGTACAAAAATGGAGAAATTCTCCACAAGTGAAGACGAGATCTTAATTGAAGAAGTTCAGAAATATTCAGTCATATACGACTACCAAAGCGAAAATTATAAGAACTTATTAGGAAAAGAAAATGCATGAAAAAGAATTGCATTTACAGTAAAGAAAGATGGTAAGTGAATATGAATACATATAAATTTATTTGGAATATACAGGGTGGGGCACTTGCATGGTTGTATAAGGTATGAATTGAGGGAATAGACGGTACACTTCTGGATATATGTATATGAAATTGTATGAAGTATGAAAATATTCCTAATTAATGTTCTATTGAAATGTGATTGTCTTGCCAATCTACAGCTCCCTCCTGGTTGAAGAAATTCACAAATGCATCTCTAATGTGAAAACCATCAGAATTTTGAAATCCACCTGGCCTAGAAAAGTTCTGAAACGTCTTGCTATTGGATGGATTTTCACTTGAATCATATACATAGTGTGGACGTTGGTTTGTTTCCAACTATCCTTCTCGTAATAAATTGTGTAGGCAGCAAGCTGCAATTATTAAATTATCACAGACCTCAGGTTTTATAGCTATATGTGTATAAAACACTCGAAATACTTGACACATCAATCCAAAGGCATTTTCACTTACTCTTCGCGCTTGACTCAATCTGTAGTTAAATAGGGCATTTCTTTTGTCCGAATTTGCCGTAAGTTTCATGATGCGTTTATGCAATCGAAAAGCCTCATCTCCAACAACTACATGTGGCAATTTTTTGGTTGAATTCGGTGAAAATTGATCTTTTGGGAAAAATCTTCGGAAGTTAATATTTTTTTCCTAAAGCTGACTTATTGAATATCGAACTATCACCTTCTTTTCCGTACGAACCAACATCCAAAACGACGAATTTGTAATTTGCATCAACTAGGGCAAGCATAACGATAGAAAAATATTCTTTGTAGTTGAAATATAAAGATCCAGACTTGGCAGGGGCGAAAATTCGCATGTGCTTGCCATCCAGAGCTCCAACGCATTTTGGAAAATTCCATCGCTGCCAGAATTCCTCTGCTTTTCGTTTGAGTACGTCCGTAGATGGCGCTGGTATAAACATTGGTACTAAATGCTTACACATATTCAATAATAAAGTTTCTTTTACTAAAGTGCTAATATAGCTGTGCGAACTCCTGATGGCAAATTCTAAAGATCTGAACGTCTCGCCAGTTGCCAAAAATCTGGAAAAAAATGTATCTTATAGAATTACTATACGTGTTACTATAAGTGTCATTAAATTTGCATCATTTATTGTTCAAATTCAAATGACATGCCCAAAACTTTCTTTTACAGTTGACGCATGTAAATAGCGATGGATAGGTATAAAGATACTTATTTTCGTCATAGAAAAAAAACGCAAAATGGGAACCGGTTCATCTGCGTCAGACAAACCAGTAAAGTGGAACATTTATGAACGCCTCTCCTTTCTAGATAGAGTTGTACAAGAACGAAGTTCAAAAAACACACTGAATTTTGATGGAAATCAATTGAGCGAGATCGAAAGGGAATCTGTTGACAACAACGAATCAAATTCATCTGCCGATGATACTGGTCCTGAAGAATTGTTGGATCCTTCAACCTCCAGTGCATTAGATTCTGATAACCAATCTTATCCAAATGTTCGAGAAAGCGATACCATATCTACCACTACTGCCAGTCGTTGTTCTTCAGCTGCTAGTTCCACCGCTATATCAGCAAGATCAAATATTATCCCACGGACGCTTATCTTAAACGTTTTAAAGACAGGGCTCAGAAGAGAACTGAAATTTTACAAGCTTTGCAGAAACAGACCGAAGCACCAGAACTTGATGACTTAGATCTCTTTATGAAAAGTATAAGCTTAACAGTTAAGACACTACCAAAACCATTAATAAATAAAGCGAAATTGGGTAGTTTAACTCTCGTGACCAATTTAGAGTCTAGAGCAATGCCTTTCCATACAAAGCAAGCACATCAGTATAATTCGAGATATAACTTGAGTGCAAACAATTAGTTAGGTGACTAATATCAGTCTTACAATCCACACACACAACAACTATCATCTCCAATACCTTCTTCACAACCTCCAACTGTTCTAGAATCCTCAACCATTGCTGACTTCACCCTTCAAGAACTATAAAAAACCTTTTATTGATTACGTTATTATTGGAATCATTGTTACGTTGCATCCTGATTTCTGTTTATTAGTTTATTACAAAATATAGATTTGTCACTTGTCTAAAATAAAGTTATTTCCAAATATCAAACACATAGTATTTATTCTGTTTTGTACTATCTGCTTACCTTAATGTTGGTGCCAGGTTTTTCTCCGCAGTAATCGGCAGTGGAACTGCATTTGCTTCTGGTTTTGTAAGGTCGTCTCGTATAAGTGCTACAACAAAATGGAACTGGTCGAGATTTAAACGAAAACACTCTCTGAATTTCGAATCGTACGTCTTCAAATGGTCAATGAGTAGCTTGAAATATCCCTTCTGCTGCCCTCTTGACAAATAAGTTTTGGATCCCACGCCTTTTCTGGAAGATATGGTGAAGTAACATATGCTCTTCATCCTCTTCTTCCTCTTGTATTAACATTAATTGTAACAAATTATTCTTATCCATTTGAACACCTGTTCTTTCTGCCGTGATAGCCAGGCCGTAGTAGCTCAAAAATACGATTCTGGGCGCTCCAACCAAACCACTTGACGCAACGACCGGCAACTGCGACTGCGATTCCCAGAGACGCCGCTACCAGTCGCCGTCGCCAGACGTGCCAGTGAAACCATACCTTTACTAGTTCTATATGACCTAACGGCCCCTCTTGGTTATTACAGGACAAAGACGAATGGTCAAAAGACGCATTATCTGAAATTACTATCCCTGAACCGTAGCGAATAATCCTGTTACTCGCATAAGCATTTTAATAAAAGGGTTTCCATTAGTTGAATGTTTCAGTTCTTTTCATATTGCGTTTTGTACACAATTCAAAACATAAAATCCACAAATACTCAGAGATTTCTGCAGCTCACAACGTCATTATGCGACTCACACAATCGTTATTCTTTCTAAAAGAAATCAATTGCCAAAAAGAAAAATGAATCTTTACCGGACTCTAGCAAATCAATCCTTTTAAGTCCATATTCAAATGATCAAAGAATATTGAGAGTAGGCAGTAGCCTTCGTCGGTCCCCCTTGCCCTTGGATCAGGTTCACCCTATACTTTTGCCTGGTCATCACCATATCACCCGGCTTATCATACGCGAGGAACACACGCAACTCATGCATACTGGGGCTCAAGCAACCTTATATTCCGTTCGCCAAACCTATTGGCCGCTTGACGGGAGAAATACCGTAAGAAAGGTTATTCATGATTGCCTTCCCTGTTTTAGTGCAAAACCTCGTCTAGCAGATCATGAGCCAGGTCTTCTACCTGATTACCCCGTTGTGCCTTCGCGACCTTTTTTGAAAACTACTGCGGCCCACTATACATTAAGGAGGAGCGATTCCATAATCGGATTAAAATCAAGGTCTACGTTACAGTTTATGTTTGCATGGTCACTAAGCTATACATTTAGAGCTTGTTTCCGATCTTAACACGGAAGCTTTCTTGGATAGTATTAAGCGCTTCTTTGTTAGGAGAGAAAAGTCTCTTGAAATCTTTTCTGACAACGGCACTAACTTTGTCGGCGCTGACGGTGAGTTGCAAGCCTTATTCAATTCAACTGAAAACCGAACCGCTATAAAGCAACATTTTAATAATGAAAGAATCGCTTGGCATTTCATATCACCCAGAGCTCCTCATTTTGGAGAATTTTGTGAAGTTGCGGTCAAATCATTCAAAAACATTTACTCCGCACTGTCGGAGATACATTGCTTACATATGAACAATTAGAAACACATATAATTGAGATCGAAGCGATATTGAACTCTCGTCCTTTATCCCCTTTATCCTCGGATCCAAACGACCTTTTGCCTTTGACTGCCGATCACTTTCTCACTGGGGCTCCATCGACAAACTGTCCAGAGGTTGACTTCATTGACACTCCATGGCAACATGCGCAGAAATTAAAGCAGCACTTTTGGGATCGCTGGCATAAGGAATATCTAAATAACCTTATTAGCTCACATCAACGTTCTAAATCAACTAGCAGGATTCAAGTTGGAGATTTGGTTCTGATCCATGAAAACAATCTTCCCCCACTTGTTTGGTCCATTGGAAAAATCACAGCAATCCATCCAGGAGAAGACGGTATTGTTCGTGTAGTGTGTAGTGTAGTGTGTAGTGTAGTGACAAGAATGGCGAGTACAAGCGATGTACTAAGAAACTTTGCCCTCTACCCTTCACTTAACGGCTCTATTTTATTTTATTGAACTTGGACAGTTCAAGGGTGGCGGCATGTTCGGTCTCAAAATCTTGCTATCGAAATTATTATGTTTTTCAAGTGGATTGTGAATATTAAATTTTTAGTATTTAGCCTAGAGTTGCCAGCTCTAAAATTTGTACAACAAAGCAGATTGTTCAATGGCATTATTTTTATTGTAGGTATTGCTTACTAATTTCGTTTAAATTATTTAGTTTTTTATTATTCCCAAGGGTCTCCCAATCGGGGGTTTCCAGTTGGTCTTCTAATGTATGGGTCTTTTCTAAATCACTTATCCTCATAAAATTCAATATTCCCTGATATCTTTACCAGGGCAACCCGTATATTCAAGTCTATTTAACGTAAATATTGTAGGCTACAAATGGCTATATTTTCAATATCTTTTCACAAGAGTTAATATAGGAAATTCTTGTGCGCATTAAGCTTTCATACTCACGATAAAATGATCGTGGGTCAAAACATAATTTTTATTCCTCATGCCTTTTATTTCTAACCAATGGAAATGAAGATACAGAACTACCCCTAATAAGTCAGTACATTGGTTTTTATTTTGATATTGAGCATCAGCAAATTTTTGCCAAACCGTTTGTTTAGCAATTCAAAATCAAAGTGTTTCATGAGAAATATGGAAATAGTGCTGTCATCGGCATTGTGTTCAAACTGCTTGTCGCTCGAACCTTGAAAAGCTCGACAACTTTTAGAAAAATCTTGAGACCAAAGGTTTATTTCAACATTAATTGAGGTGCCACTTCTACAGTTTCAAGATGCTTGTAACTTTGAAAGTTTTCCTTTCAAAGAGAACTGCTCACACACACACAAACATTTCACAGCGAAAGGAATAAACGTAGTTCTTCGTAAGTGATAGAGTACACCTGCTATTTTATTTCAACTTGCTCTCCATACAATATATCAGGTGGGCCCTGTGTTACCAAAAAACATCTTTCGGGATATCCCAAAATTCTGGATCTATAATCTAGAGATGTTACCTTGGTATCAGTTTTTATTGGGCTTCGATTTGGTGGCGGTGCGGTGCCAAAAACAATTGGTTTGGAAATAACGCCAATTTGATAGTCACCATCACTCCCCAACGATTCCATGTTTTTTTACATGCTGAATCGTCATTGTCTCAGTACTGCCAGACGTATTTTGTAAATAATTCTTCAAAGCACCAGCTGCTTGTTTCTTCTTTTGGGTTACCTTTTTTAGCCTTCATCTTTTGCATTTGTCTGTTATCAGATATTCTGAAACATACAATTTTTCGAATGAAACGATCTTTAATATAAAATAATAATTGAATAGAACTGGCCGATACTTGATGAAAATCCATATTATCGTATGATTTTCACCATAAAATCATACAATAAATCATACAATAATTAAACTGTATTGATTAGTTTTTAAAATAATAATATTTAAAATCGAAAAAAATGAGCTGAGCTATTTAACCTTTTTTTTGTTCGGAACAAAAACTTAATTGCAGTAGAAAGAAAAGATGGGGATTAAATCTTGTTCAAGTAACTTCAGGATCAATAGAAAAATAAAACAGAAACAAGAAACCAAAACGAAATCTATACAAACGTGAATATTTTTAATACCTATACTTTCTATTGAACATCCACTTTACCTTTATTTGATATAAGTGTGAAACTTACAAAAATATTTTCAATGTTTCCCTGTTTTTCATAACGTTATAGCCCAAAGGTTCAGAAATACATTTGCAAAAAGGAAGAGAGTGTCAATTCCATTCTACAAGAGACTCAATCGATTCCTTTCCAACTTACCACTCAATCGACTAACTAACCCACTTAGAGATATTGAAAAAAGAATAGCCCACCCTGACCTGAACCCGTTTTACAAACAAATCTTTACTAACGTATGGCAACAGCAATGGAATGGCTCCAACTCTAAGTTATCAGCAATCAAACCATTGGTCTTACCCTGGAAATCACTTCCAAAAACGTGAAAATTGCAAGTTATCCTGTCACGTCTTCGACTTGGGCATACTCGCCTCACTCATGAATACATCCTCAACGGTAATAACCCTCCAACATTTGAAGTTTGTGAATGTACCATAAGTGTCAAACATATTTTATCCGAGTTAGCATCTTACTACAACGAGTACGAGTACGACATCCCCCCTTCAATTGAAGCAGCGTTAGGAGAAAATTGTAACTATGAAAAACTAATTGCCTTTCTAAGACGTATAAAGCTGCTGCACCGTATATGAAAATTTATTGTAAGAAATCAATATTTCTATGATATTTGAATTGTCGCTAATAACCCTCGAGGTTGATGCGACATTAAATAAATGTAATAAAAAAAATCAGTGTTTATCCCATACATCACTACTAATTCTACATGTTTTGTTGAACGCTTTGATATTTGTGATTGCCTCCCCTCCCCATAGAATCCGTTCATGAAAAATTGACAATGTGGGTTTTTGTACATGAAGTTGAAGCATAACTGCAGTCACGATTCAACCTTGTGAATAATATTGTGTATCAGTTTCCTTGATTCCGACAAATTGTTTACATGAATAAATTATTTATCGGTGATGCAAAATATATCATGAAAAAGTAAGTTATGAAGTTATATTAATCTATTCTCGTATCAATTTTTGTTTTCAATTCGTAGAATCAAACAGCTTGTAGACTTTTGTCGACCTTGAATATACTTTTGTTAATATCAAGAGCTTAATTCTCTTTGAAGAGGCGAATAACTGTTTGTCATTATTTAATCAAAACTGTTTTCGAACGAATTCAAGCTGTCGAAAAATGTACCTAGTCGTATTTTTTTTAATAGGTGAAATACTCGACAATGTACCTACCATCTGTATTCTATCACATCGAAAGTGAAACTTGTTCTGAAAACCTTTTTTCAAATAGAATTTCTTTGTCATCCCGCCGTTTGAATCAGTGCACATTTGCCAACGTAACACAAGTCAAATAATTTCGTCAGCATAAAAAGTATGTGCTCGGGATTCGATGAAGTCGACAAAGGCCGTTTTCGC